TTACAAAGTTACTTATACACTTGTTTCACAAACACTGTCGTGTTTGCCGCTATAAATCAACTCTTTAGTTAACTATCTCCGGTAGATAGAATTTAATGTTACATTTAAATGACCTGCTGATAGGACGGTTTGATTTATAGATAATTAAGTGTATATAATTGATTTGGGTCTGGCTTGAACAACATCATCCCTCCGGTATACGTTTGGAAGCCCATAGTCCAGACAATCTAATAAAGGTGGACAACATGTTTTTTATCTATCTGTTCAGGTACATGAATATTGGGCGCGTTGTTACTAGTAGGAGAATAGTAAAATAACTGCGTAGACAAATCATTATGATGTGTTTAAAGTGGTCTTGCGAAGTACTGGGGAAAAGTTATATCAAAAATAGCAAATAAAACTATATCTAGATTTTAATCAGTTAAAATTTCCAAATAAGCATAAATTTAATTTTCTTGTTTCACATACTTTAAGGCCGTACCTGCACTGAGGTCGGATTCTAGTTATGAAAACTAGTGTCACAAACGATTTCTAATTGATATCATTTTTGAATAAGGGTTAAAAGTAACATTTATTCTCAAAATAAATAATTTGTGTTCTACAAGAACAAGGACTGATATCCGGAGTGACAGTTATTATAACGATTACCATTATCACCTGTATTAAAGCAAGGTATTTTGTGACTATGAAAAACCAACAGTAAGCAGAGAAACCTGAAATGATGGCCGAAAATATTCAGCAATATTGGCGTAATCGTTCATAATTCCAATTATTTAGTTAAAACTAACTTATGATCGGGTGAAGATTAATTTTCAGACTGGCTTTTAAAGGAACTTATGGTGCAACAAACCATTAAAAGGCTCTCTTTCAATGAAACACTGTTTACGCTAGACAAGTTTTAAGTTGGGGGTTCTCTCATTTCGTCGATTTCTTTAACATGATAGCGTTTTTAAAAGTTATATTTGGTACTGTCGATTCCTTAGACTAAACAGTTGTTACTATATTATATTTAACCAGCAAAATGGTGAAGCAGGGAAAAGGTGACTAAAGTCATTCGAAAGCGGGGTAATGTAATATGAAGTGAACATAAAACAACCTAAACAGTTCTTACGTGTAAGAGAAAGTATTTTTATTTTAACTCGCCACATTTCTTCAACAATACGACAGTAGTACTAAGGTTATCCCCGCTGAATAAAGATGTTTTCTAATGCGTGAATATATGCTATAATGCTTAGTTTTTGAGAGGTTCTCCAGTTTTAATATACCATATCTGCTGGAGGATTTCGATGAGGGGTGTATTGGAAAAACAATTTCGGTAAAAGTAGGCTAATGACACAGTGAGCACATGGATTATACTTACATTTAATGATGAAAGCAACTTATTGGAAAAAACAACGTGAGTGCGATATTGTGACAATCTGATATCACGATCTAATTGTTGATAAGGTAAACTTTTGAATGAGTTACATCAATTCACCATGAGAACTCAGGTGACCTAGAGAATGAATTTCAATTCTCAATTCATGATTGATATTTCTCTAACCCGGAAAAACCACCGAAATTAAGTCACGATAACTAACCACCGAAATGAAATATGTTATTTTATCTGCGTCTACGTCACTATATATTTATAGGGAATGAGTGTTTTAATTTTCAAATGAGTGAATCACATGTTTTATTAGGTGATGAAGTTGCTCGATTGAATGATGAACCCATGATATGTCATTAGTCCACAACCGAACCACCCAGCCGTTGGGTCACCGAAAGTCGAACAGTTCAATGATCATCCTCAAGGTCAAGAACAATCAACGAACATTAGTTAATCTCACTCTATAAACTGGCCTATGTGTTGGTGGTCTTGATCTCTTCCGTGTACCTACTCTTGCTAACATATTTCTGTGCTAACGTTATGCGATACTCAAATCAGCCATAGTACTTTGATAAAGCGAAAGAGTAATCCACATTACGTGTTGTGACTTCAAATTCAGAAGGTTCATTACGCCATTCTTGTCCAACCCACAATCGTCCAACGAAGACCATCTGCTCTAGTGATTTACAGGATTTACTATTGATATGCTACGGCAAATTACCTAGGTGACATACAAGGTTAGATTGGAATTTCCTTGTCGTTGAAAATTTTCAGAATTCTTAAATCACTCTACCACATCTACAAATGAAATCCTTTGCAGGTATCCCGCAGAGCCCATGTTTGCCAATCTTTTGCCAGATTAGGATGGTAAGAAAGACCAACGTCTACTAAAATCAGGAATGATTTTATGAAATTAATAAAACTGTACATAGGATTTTTCAGACAATATTCGCTCGATGGAGATAAAACAAAAGTGAAATCGAATGAATGTAAAACTTTTGCACATTAAGATGCTTCGAGTACTTGGAGCTTGCCAATGCCTTTACATATAACACCTATACAATTGAACTGTGTTGACCTAGTCCAATCAGAAGTGGTTTGAAGATGTATATCGAAGTCTAATGATATGTCTGGGTGCGTCTTGTCTATGCTGGTTAACAGTTGCAAGGGATGCGTTGCACGACAAAAAAACGTATCTGGTACGGGCGCGTGAACGAGTGCCTCTGGCTAGGTTTGTTTATTGAAATTATTGTGAGATGGTAAATATTTGTAGCTCAGGTGTATGATTTTGATGGAGTTTTGTTCTCTGACCTGGATGGTTAGGTCGTGGAGCTTTCATCGTTATTCTGAAAGACATCATCACACAAACGTTCACCCCAAATTTGTGGTGGTTACCATCAAATGTCGAAGGCTTACAGAATTATTTATTTTAGATATTTTACCGCTACAGTTCATCCCCCCTAGTCAGGCAGTGATAAATCCAATTTGTGGCCAGCCAGCAAGTTAAACCCGATGACGTTGTCGTTGTTGAACAATATTTTGATTACTTGTTGTGTTCATCAGCATTTGGTCATTCTTTCTTATTAAATAAGGGGTCATGTGGTACATGGTAGTAGTAAAAAAACGCAATGAAAGAACAGTACTAGAGACACGACAATATGAATCAGCAAAAAACTACGAGTATGCTTGTTAAATAACAGGGTTCAATCATGCAAGTTGCTAAGAAAATAAAGATATTGAACGCTCAGTAATCTAATGAGTTGTCTTGTTTACCGATTACAGAGAATTGAAAAAATGTTACCTGTGCTTGATCAAATGCTGTTGCCCATTTTTTTCTAACCACATCTACAATGGTCAATAGTAAGGAAGAGGTGTCTTCTATGTCATTTATTTTCGGACGGTTGTCTATATCAAACTTGGTCAAACGCCAAAACTTAGGGTTATAAATCTCGCGCGTCTGATCTTTTTAAGTGTTCGTGAATTTTGACTCCGTATGTTGAGATATAGCCGCCTTTAGCGTGTGGAAAGGTCCAGAAATCTGTGTATTGGATGTCTTTTTTCAGTTCTTATCAGTTCTCTGATTTTAATGCACTTGTGAAAAGACAATAACACAAATGAGCCAAATAGGACGTAACAGGGACCGATGGTGGTACATAGTATATAAGTTAATCAGATGTACTGGGAAATCTGGGTCTTCCTCACAACGATCAACAATAGTTTTATACATGTAGGTCGATCAGAGTCTTCTTCGCTTATCATCACTGAACCTCAAACATATGCAGATGTCGCTCTTTTTAAGTGCATCGGAGAAACGTCTAACGCCCATATAAGGCCGGTCCATAGATTATACACTCATATAACGATCTATATATAGAATGTCAACGTAAATATACGTCGACACTGCAGAATGAAACAATTCTAGTTTCAAAGTATCTAATATCTTTTAAGCTGAATAAAAACAAAGAAAAAGATTATTGGAAGGAAAAGGCATTTCTGTGAAAGCTTGGGTCGATGAACGTGAGATTTTTGAACCATTTATCCAATATATGAAAAGTGCTCCTCATCCAGTTTTGTTCAGATTTAGTATTGACACTTGTCTTTCGGCTGTCAGCTAGTAATGCCAACTAAAACTAACAAGGTTAGCATCAGTCTCGGACAATGATCGCAAAACCGTTTGTTTTGGGACTTTTTTACCATTACATACGTAACTAGCAGTTATTCGCTGTTAATTATAAGCAGTATAAGTAATTCAACTCCCACTGAATTCACAAGCAACAATATCTTTGAACTGATATACCTATGGAAAGTTTGCACCTGCAGTTGCGGTTACATCCTGCGCTCAAAAATGCTACAGATATTTAGAATTTGACAATGCTTTTGCCTGTAAAACCCATACGACTGGGGGATATTAAACAAGTCAAATCAGAAGTCCTAAGTGGAGGAGTTTAAAGATATAGTTGCAAAGTTATTGATGTATCGAGAAACATTTGATCTAAACTATGTAGTATGAAGTCATAATACGAAGTTTATACGCGTGGTATGTTGCAAATGCGTGAACGAGAAACTTCAGGTAGGATGTGTCCAGTAAGTCTACTGTGATCGACATTAATGAAGACTTATGGAAATGTTTATTCTGGCGAATTATTTGCTGCTACACACCCAAAACACGTGTGATACGATTCTAAGTGTTATTTAGTGCTTACACTACAAATAATTCAAGGCGAACGAAAGGGCCGTCAGAAGCGTTTTTCCTCCGTGTTGTACTTTAAGACCCAAAATACATAAATTTCACAAATTCGGTGAATAAATAGAACATTTTTAAATATGAAACACTACCTAATTCGAAACCCTACACTACCAGCCTTTGGTTGTAACGACTATATTATCTTTATTTTACACATTTATTAGTGCTCATCGCTTCCAACCACCTGCCTCACTAGACAGAAGTGCATTCTACAGGCCTACGAAGTTACGATTCACTTTTTCTCATCTAAATTCTAACATACGTCATTTTGTACACTTCCATAGAATACAACGTACCTTAGGGCTAGACGCAGACATTCAAAAAGTCGAAAGTCAAGTCAAACTTGTAGAGAGATGTGGATTACGAATATTTGACCTTGAAGGTCAAGGCGCCATTATTAGGTTCTCAGAATGACTAGGGGTTCACCTCATCGGTCGCACAAAAAACATCGTCACAAGAACCGTGATAGGTCTCGTTCTCCCCTGGACCAGATTACTGATAGGATTGCTACCAGGCGAGATGATCAATCACCTAGTGATAGTAAGTAAACTTGTATAACCTATTACAACTTATGCTTAGCTGGAGGCACTGGTGTTGATATTTCTCTCTCAGTTGCGGAAACAAAGTAAATATAGGGTAAACTAATATACTTTTCTAGTGCTTTGCGGGCTAAATTGGGTCTTGCTCCTCTGGATGCTGATGATACTTCAAAATCAGAACGAGCAGTAGATAACCAAGCCGATTGCTACGTCCATGCACCAGCTAAGGATATCAGAAAAATAAGGGAATCAGAAGCAATCAAAGAAAAGCTAAATGTCTTGAAAGAGAAAAGGTCACTGTTAGATAAAATCGGGCAGGAAAAACTGTCCACGCCGTCTGCATGTGAATCGGATGTTCAATCATGGGTTGAGAAAATGCGTGAGAAAGAACGAATTCAGAAACAAGCCGAAGAAAGAGTAAGTTCTATGCAGGCTTTGCTCATATTGATTGCTTTTCTAGGCAAAGCTTTTGTCTGAGATTGACGATCAGTTGGCTGTTTCTGAGTTTGTAGAGTCACAGTTGATTCAAAATGGTAAAAAGTACAAACCCAATGATTTGGCCGGTCTTCGCGTTGAACACAGCTCATCCCGTTTTGTTGACGGTCAATCAGTTATCTTGACGATTAAAGACTCAGGTTTGCTTGGAAATGTTTTATTTCCTAAAGTCTTTTATATGTAAATGTTTTTGGCTCGCATGTATTTACTTGTATCATTTCGATTGGAGTTCAGATATCCGATGTATATATTAAGTCATTGTGATATTTGGTTGTCGGCTTGTCATTACTGCTTGTCGTATTTTGTCTTTTTACGGTTTAAATCTGTATAATAACTTGTGAATCGGTCACTGTAGTAGTTTTCGTTTAACATGTTCACTATCTTGTTTTAAGCTTGTTGCGGAATTCACTTTAAGGATTAGTCTGTTTTTAGCCTATGAATATATTCCTCACCTTGAGTGATTTGTTTTGTAATGCGCTTGACTTACAGCCATGAAATTGCAAGTTCAAGACCCATTCAATCTGTTTCGGTCCCAACAGCTTAGTGATGTCACTTTCTTTCACTCGAAGTGTAGCTCAAGCATAATTGTGTACTTATTGAGCAATCTACAAATACTCATTTGGAGATCTGCTATCTGGAAATGTTCTAATACTATTATTTTCAGCAGATTACTAAAAACTCAAACATTTTTAGTGAGACTACTTTATGGACGACCTTTGAGTGAAGCTAAAAAGACCTTGAGAATGTCCACTTACATACTACGGCTAAATGAGGGTTATAAACTAGTGTAAGGAATTAAGATTAATATTTTTGTTTAATAGTTGGGGTTAGGCTTTAGATTTGGGGTTTTTATTGTGAACTGATATCAGCTATAATGACAAAACTATTTAGCCAAATGAATGAATTTCGCACCGAAATTCAAGACATGTTATCGTAAATCTGGTTGGTTTGTCCATAAATTATAGTTTCTCCACATTTTCACTGAGCTTGTTAGACAACTCATGCTTTCAGTCCATCAAGTGTTACTAGTAGTACCACCCTGAAAGATAGCTCGCTTGTTTTCCTTCATGTCTTATGTTAACCGCTTATCCAGGCTTGTAAGATTTGGACCCCATGTAAAATAACTAAACGAAACTCGTCACTTCAAACTAACCTACAATGTAATTTATTTTATTTCTGAAGTATATATACAAGATAGATGCAGTCATTTTGACTTGGTCTATGTAATACATCCGTATTAGCAATTTCTTGTTCATCAGTAGTTTCAGGTTAAAAACGGGAGGAGGATTCTGGCTTTTTCGTTTGGCTTCATCATAGACCTACTGGTGAAAATAACGCTCTCGTCGACTGAATTTTCGGGCATTGATCTCCTACCAGGATATCCACTTATCGACTTAGAATAGGCAGATGATATAGTCCTGTTTGATGAAGACACTGATAAAGTGCAGTGTTTTGGTAGCACTGAGCAACAATCCCTGAATGTTCGGGATGCGTTTCTCCCTTTCTAAATGCAAGTTGTTACTCCAGGACTGGCCTGTGTCAACTCCTGAACTAAGGATAGAAAGTGAATTAGTCGGACACGTTAACAACTTCACTTATCTTGGAAGTCTGATCAGCCCTAATGGGTTGGTGTCTGACGAAATCTCAGCACGGGTTCGAAAAGCTCGTCTGGCTTTTGCCAACTTACGTCACTTATGGCGAAGGCGAGATATCCGTCTATCAATTAAGGGACGAGTATACTGCGCGGCAGTTCGTTCTGTTCTACTTTACGGCTGCGAAACGTGGCCATTGAGAGTATAAGATACTCGTAAGCTACTAGTATTTAACCACACACAAAGCGAATGTCCGGCGCTTTAACCGGATTCCAAACCAATGGTGCACATGGGCTCCAGTATCCTGCGGGAACAAATGGCGTATGAACCAATTGTTGGTCACCGGCTTCATGGGACTGCATCTCCTTACGATACTCCACTGCCTTGTAGATCAGACCTTCAGGTCGAAGGCTCGGGGAGTGGCTCCCCGACCGTTGTTGCTACCTTGACGTGGTGGTCGGGCTTGCCTATCGTGATGAAGCAACCGAGCTATACTGGCTGGAACAACCGTTCCTCAAGGTCCTACCATGTCAGACAGGTCGGTTGAAGAGCGGTAAGACTAAAAGCAACAAACCCAAGGTCCGAAGGCGAAGTCGTACTGCTGACTGTACAGAGGTGTGACAGCAGTAAGGTGTTTCCTTCAGACAACCAGCATGACAGCGATGCTGCCTTCCCACAAGGAGGGGTGGGGTTAGAAAAGGTCGACCCTAAAATGCACACCTCACCTTACCTCACGGATTTCCGTCTCCGGCGGTAAGGCCCTTTGAAGAACGGAGCTAACACGTCGAAAACCTTCCACGAAAAGGCCGTGCGCGACCGGCCTCAAGCAGTTGTCCCTTGGGCACCGCGGTCACGCTCTCAGGTCACTGAGACAACCTCTAATCCAATTTCCTTTTCAGGTACCTCCAGAAGAACCCTTCCACGGTGTGGGCAACCGGGAAGTGATAACCGCCCTCATACCTCTAACAGCACCCAAGACCACTGTATTCATAATCAACCTTCCTCTTCAATTCCTATTATTCCTCCTACATCGACTTTCAACCCTAAACTTCCTCCTTCGGCTTCCTCCTCAAGTGTCACCATAGCCAACGATTCTAGTGCTCAAAACTCTGTCCCAGGTCTACTGAAACCTCGCTCCAAACTACACATTGGAGCTTTCAACGTACGCACTCTATGTCAAATCGGTCAGCAGGCTTCCTTGGCTAAAACCCTAGAGTCTCTTTCCATTGATGTATGCTGTGTCTCTGAAACACGCATACAGGATCCCAGTGTGGTCATTCACTTGACCTCACCTCGGCAAAACGGAGAGCCAACGAGATACACCCTTCGTGTATCTGGCCAGTTCTCGTGGACTGGCAGGTGTAGGCATAGCACTAAGCATGAGGGCCGAACAAGCACTGCTAGAGTGGATCCCCGTCAACAGTCGTCTATGTGCTGTTCGGCTGAACGGCTACGTAAGAACTCGGAAGGATAGGGACACACGTCGTTGCCTTTTTGTCGTTTCTGTCTACGCTCCCACTGACTGCAGCTCAGATGAAGTGAAAGATGAATTTTACAGAAAGCTTTCTGAACTTCTTCAGAAAGCTAAACGCTCAGACATAGTACTCGTAGCAGGTGATTTTAATGCTCAGATAGGTAGCTTAAACCAAACAGAAAGGCATTTAGGTGGATATTTTAGTATTCCGACACAGCGAACAGATAATGGTGATCGTCTGCTGCAGCTATGCTCAGACAATCGTTTATTTTCAGCAAACAAATTTTAAGCATAAGGAGAGACATCGTCTAACATGGCGACCCCCTACACCAAACCAACGATGGACTCAAATAGACCATATTGCCATCAGTCATCGTTGGAGAAGGTCGGTACAAGATTTTCGCTCATTCTGGAGTACCTGCTTGGACTCCGACCACGCCCTAATACGGGCACGCATCTGCTTGCGCCTCACTGGACGCAAAAAAGCCACATTAAAAAGACCCGTTAGAACTGAGTTGAGTAACGAGAAAACCAAAAGTAGGTTCCAGGAACAACTGAGGTCACACTTAGGTAGTTGTGAAGACGAGGCTGACCCAGATGTTGCTTGGAAGGGCATACAATCAGCTGTGGAAACAGCAGTGACATCTATTAGTGACTTAAACCACAGAGTTGCAAGGAACCAGTGGATTTCTTCAAGGTCTGTCACACTGATGGATTCTCGCAAACTCGTCCCATCAGGTTCTAAACATGATGAAGAGCGAAAACAAATCAGATCTAGGTTAAGAAAAAGTCTAAGGAACGACCGTGAGCAGTGGTGGGTAACGAAAGCAAAAGAGATGGAAAAGGCGGCGACTATAGGGAACACAAGACAGCTTTACAGACTAATGAAAGAAACTGGAATTAATAAGTCAAGTGTAAGTGAGATTATTTCGGAAAAAGATGATACTCTCATCTGCTCCCAGTCCAGACGTTTAGAACGATGGGCGGAACATTTTAGAGAACAGTTCAGCTGGCCTTCAGCTACTCTACAACTACCCTCCATTCCCAGACAATGTGAATGGAACATTGAAGTAGGTCCCCCAACTCTTGCTGAAGTTCAAAAGGCTATAGTTAATCTGAAACGAGGAAGGGCAGCTGGTCCAGATGGATTGGCTCCAGAGGTCTTTAAGGATGGTGGTCCAATTTTAGCGATTAGGTTGACTAATATTTTAGCTAAGATCTGGGAATTAGACTTTATCCCATCTGACTGGTCGCAATCACTTATCGTCCCAATATATAAGAAAGGGTCAAAATCATCCTGTGACAACCACAGAGGGATTAGTTTAACAAACATAGTATCTAAAATACTGGCCTCGATAATTATCAGACGTCTAACTAAGACTCGTGAACTACAAACTCGAGAGAACCAAGCTGGCTTTAGACCTGGTCGTGGCTGCATCGACCACATATTCACCATTCGTCAGGTTCTAGAACACAGGCATACCTATCGGCGTCCGACGATGATGGTCTTTCTTGACTTAAAAGCAGCGTTTGACTCTGTAGACCGCGAGACTCTGTGACAGTGTCTGTCATTGAAAGACGTACCTCAGAAGTACATAAACCTTGTGAAGGCTCTTTACTCGAACACTACCAGTCGAGTCAGGGCTTATGGCGAACTGTCATCTACTTTTGCAACTTCAAGTGGTGTCCGTCAAGGCTGTCCACTTTCTCCATTTTTGTTTAACTTCATCATAGACCTATTGATGGAAATAACACTCTCGGCGACTGAATTCTCGGGTATTGATCTCCTTCCAGGAGGTCCACTTATCGACTTAGAATACGCAGATGATATAGTCCTGTTTGGTGAAGACGCTGACAAAATGCAGAGTCTTCTGGTAGCACTAAGCAACAATGCCAGAATGTTTGGGATGCGCTTCTCTCCCTCTAAATGCAAGTTGTTGCTTCAGGACTGGTTTGCGTCAACACCTGAACTAAGGATAGGGAGTGAAGTAGTCGAACGCGTCGACAACTTATCTTGGAAGTCTGATCAGCCCTAATGGGTTGGTGTCTGACGAAATCTCAGCACGGATTCGAAAAGCTCGTTTGGCTTTTGCCAACTTACGTCACCTTTGGCGGAGGCGAGATATCCGTCTATCAATAAAAGGACGAGTATACTGCGCGGCAGTCCGTTCTGTCTTACTTTACGGCAGCGAAACATGGCCTTTAAGAGTAGAAGACACCCGTAAGCTACAAGTATTTTACCACAGATGCCTTAGAAATATTGCTGGCATCTGCTGGGATCACCGGGTAAGTAATAGTGAGGTTAGACGCAGGGTATTAGGGAATGATGGTAAATCAGTTGATGAGGTTATGAATCTTCATCGACTGAGATGGTTGGGCCACGTATTACGTATGCCTGAACACCGATTACCACGACGTGCAATGCTAACCGGTGTAGGGGATGGTTGGAAGAAAGTTAGGGGCGGCCAAACCAAAACGTGGCATCAGTGCTTGAAGTCACTAACTTGTAGTGTGAGCCATGTTGGTAGATGCAGACTACTTGGTTGGGGTCCGCGTGACTTTCGTAACCAATAGTTGGAGACTCTTGGTGACATTGCTCAGAATCGATCACAATGGCGTCGGTGTATACACTCTTTGTCTTCCCTTAAACTAAGAGATTAAAATCACTTCATATCTTTCTTTCTACGAACTAATTCTTCCTTCCTATACTATATCCTTATTGCAACCTTTGACTTAACCACTCCTATGAATCCGGTGTTCATCTTGTTGTGCTAATGAGGTATGGCAACCTGGACCGATGCACATATGTGCCTGGTCCTACGTTGTAGCTGACTGACTGACTGACTGGAGTGGCCCCCTAAGAAAACCACCTGCTTCGGTTTGGGCACCCGGGCAGTATCACAGCCCTCACACATATCGAATGAGATTTGTGTGGCGCATATGTATTTAGTGCCTCCTTGTACCAATATCTATGTGTTAAAATAAATAATAAATAACACATGCCTTAGGAGTACTGCTCGCATTTGCTGTTATCACCGGGTAAGTAATAGTGAGATTAGACGCAGAGTATTAGGGAACGATGGTAAATCAGTTGATGAGGCTGGGAATCTTCATAGATTGAGATGGTTGGGTCACGTGTTACGTATGCCTGAACAGCGATTACCACGACGCGCAATGGTGACTGGTGTTGGAAACAGCTGGAAGAAAGTTAGGGGCGGCCAAACCAAAACGTGGCATCAGTGCTTGAAGTCACTAACTTGTAGTGTGAGCCATGTTGGTAGATGCAGACTACTTGGTTGGGGTTCGCGTAACTATCGTAACCAATAGTTGGAGACTGTGAGTGACATGGCTCAGAATCGATCATAGTGGTGTAGGTGTATATACTCTCTGTGTTCCCTTAAACTATGAGATTAAAATCGCTTCATATCTTTCTTTCTGTACCATATGGTTATATGCAGTCTTTCTTTAATGTATTACCAGCATTGAATTAACTACTTCTATGAATCCGGTGTTCACCTTGCTGTGCTAATGAAGTATGGGAACTTGGATCGATGCATATATGTGCCTGGTCCTACGTTGTAGATGCCTGACTTATGTACTTCACCAGAAAGTTCCTTACGAATGCGGTATATTCATTCGAGCGTATAAACGATGTTAGAAATACTAACAGTCAAACTAAGATTCCAGGAAGCTATCGATTCTTTAAAGTGAGTGTTGATTGACACAAAAATATTCATATGATCTTACCAAAACAGAAACAACTTAAATATATAACGATGGATATTCATTTATGGTGAGCATTGGTTTGCAGAGAAGAAATGATTTATTGACATCCCTAACTTTATTTCAGTCTAATAAGTATCGTGTATTACTGTAAGTGATGACTTATCATGCTTAACACATGACTAAACTATCCCAGTCACTATATACATATAACACCGTTAACTAGTTCGCCTCATCTAGAACATATTGTATAGCTTCTCGACTGCTCTCTCAGTGGTTCCGGTACATGATTCAAAGACACTATCGACCGAATCTTGGATGATCTTGAAGAGCTATTTGAATATCTAGTTTGATACACCACCTGTGGTAAATATATTTTACGAAAACTTGTGTTCCACTTTGTTTTATTGCTGATATACTTTTTACTGCAATTTTTTCAGTCTTAATTCCAGATAAGTTGTGATTCAGATTGGTGTTACAAGTGACTTCTGCTTATTTTATTTACCGTTCTGGAGTTCCATAATAGTTTACTTTGTATCGATCGATGTAAATATTTCTCAAATACTTAAAATCTATGCTATATTACGGGTGTAGAATAATTTACTGACTTCTATCGTGTTTTTCTTGGAGAATGAGTACCATGTAAAAAATACTCGTTATAAACCACCGCAACTTGACTTCATTGTATTGGTGAACTGGAGGTTCGGAATTTATTTCTACTAAGAGTAATTCGAAATCTGTTTCAATCCCCATAAATGTTAACCTCGCTGTGTCATTATTTTAATCAACATTGTAGCGATCATAGGTTCAATATTTGTATTTTTCGCCTTTTAATTTAGGTGTTTTGGATGAATCTGAAGACGTTTTAGTGAATGTAAATATAATTGATGATGAAAAAGCTGATGTCAATAGAGAAAATATAAGAAAGACTACCGGTCTGGCAGGAATTGAAGACGAAGTGGATGAGGATGTACTTCTTGGTTTACGCTCTAAAGCTGTTCTAAGCAAGTATGATTCAGAGATTAATGGCATTAAAAAAGACCACTTTGTTATTAATTCTGATGGCTCTTATAATACAGAGAATGAGCGTTTATTGAAACAACTACAAGCTGAACTGAAAGAAGGACGAGTAAGTACATATTCAAAATTCATGTACATACTAATAAATTTTTCTCATGTTTAACATATTGCCGTGTTTGTTTGGATGCATCACTAACTTATCTTAAATGTTTCATTGTTTGTTAATAGATCATTTTAATCCCATTTCAGCAATCGTTGCCTGATACTGAGCTTCGTATAGCTTCTGAGTACTACAGTGCGGAAGAAATGGCTGCGAAATTTAAAAAGCGTAAACGTCGTATCAAAACTATTCGTCAAGCACTGACTGCTGATGAACTTTTGAGTGAATTGCCAGAACAATCAGGGTCTTCTGATTTAGGAAGCCGTTCAACAGTTAGAGAAAAACGCTTAAATAGTAACATCCCATCTGCAAATGACACGTTTCCGGCTGAAGAATTTTCTGCACAAATAATAGATGTCAAAGGTATTATATGTTTTGCTGTTTTGTTACCTTAATCGTTTAATAAGTACATTTAAAGAACATTTCATACTAAATGTTACTTTTCAACTTATGAATTTTAGTATCGTTATGATTTCGGATCTATTTAACTAACTGAAAAACCTATAGGCTATACTTTGTAACATAAATAGTCAAAATACAAACATTTATAGCATTCAATAGCCTGTAATGTCATAAAAATTAGACTAAAAATCAAAACGACTATTACCATGCAACTGTAACTGCGAAACCAACACTGTTATTTCACAACTATGTGCTGAAGATATTTCTACACTTAAAATTGTATCATTACCTTAAATTGAAACAACTTTTATAGCAGAGTATTATTTGACAATTCCAAATCCTAACACATCATTCATTTAGTAGACTTTTGGGCAAGTGATTCTACAGTGATAAAAATCTAAGTCTCCACCTATAGAAGGGCTAGGCTGATAGCTATTTATGTAAAAAGTTGTTATTGTTACTTGCTCCAACCTTCTTATCTTCTGTGTTAGCAAATGCGTGACGGATTCGGTTTTCGATTAGTCGAAACAGTTGAGTTATACGAAGTTTGATTACACATGTGTGAAAAGTAATATAACCCAGTGGTATGGCAATGATGCGTATTATAAATACTAACAGCTTCTCTTTTAGACAAAAGAACTAAAATTGTAGAATAATAACGGTTGTGAGGGAAAATCCCAAATCATACACTAATATGTCGTTTACACACACATGTAATGGATGAAAGAAACGACTCCAAAAAAGCACTGAGGAAAAGACCGAAACCCGTGTAAGTAACTTAAAAGTTTGGAAAAGTTTATTATTTTCAAATAATTTTTATCGTTTTGGAAGTGGATGAGTTAGCTATTTGTCAACTTGCAAACTCATGTTGGTACTACACAAGCGAAATTATATGTGTATAATTACTTTCTGATGCTAGGTTTCAATTTGTCACAATATAAACTACAGAACACTTGTTGATCGCTTTAAAATAATCGGTTATTTCAAATGTATGTTTCGCAATTTCTTTTCCTCCTATACTCAGATAGTTACGAGGAATATTGGTCTGCAGCAGATCATATCGATGAACCAGATGAGTTGAGAAGTGAATTAGAGAAAACTATAGGGCGAGTCGTGCAATCGAAGTCACGGGTTGTTTCTAAACCGGAAGAAGTACGTCAATTTTTTTATGACAGCATTTTCGTGAAATGTAGAGATTGTATAATATTAAAATGAATAAATGGGACTTAAGAAATTAGGCTAAATACAAGCTAATAGTGTCCAAACTTATGCCAAGTATATTGACTTTTCAAGTGTTTCTGAATTACATTACGGTTAAAAATCAGTGTGATCATGGTTAAACACGATTGATATGATCCATTGTTAAGCTATGACAGCACTTGAATAATTTCTATGTCTGTTTAAAAACCATTTTTTTAACTATTACTTCATATAAACTAAGATAAGATTGATTCTCTTCTCACTATACTTTTTGCATTCAAAAGATTACATCACAACTCTTAGCAAAAAATATAGCTACTCATTCATCCGAATCCGTGTCACAGTCACCTGCGTCTGATACATTGACAAATAATAGCAAAAAAGACAGTGTTGTGTTCGACTCTACTGCAGAATTTTATAAGTCAATTGGTATTGGTTTTCAAGAAAGTATGAAAAAAAATACTCGTTACAATCAGTTCTTACAAAATCAGTCTAGATTACAGAATAATGGCGGAGCAGTTGGTACTAATGATGATGATAATACGAGTTCATCACCTACAAGATTGCCGTATAAAGAGGAAGAAGAAGAAGAACGAAAACTTGATTATGATTCAGAAGGTAGTTATCGCATGAAAAGTGAAGACTATGATACAAATTATGACGATACGAAGTTGGAAGCATCAAGTAAGTTTCTATTTTCCACTTCATCTATGAATGTTTATTTTTTAAAAATATTTAAGAAATTTACGTATCAGCCATTGGAAAAGAAGTGTGATCATCAAATAAAACAATAGAGGGTAGATTGCAGTTTTTTTCTTTTGGAGATAACGCTACCGTCATCTTGCTTATCAGGAAACAATCTTATGTCAAGAGATTCACTTGTTAACTTAATATATCCTGATAACCTAGTTCTATTTGGTGAAGATATCGACAAAATAGTTTGTGATAGCCTTGGGTGATGTTTGAGATGCGATTTCCTTTCTCTAAATTCAAAATGGTGCCTCAGGACTGATCTGCGTCAACCCTGGGCTAATGATAGCGAGTGAAGTAGTTGAGTACATCAACCACTTCACTTGTCTTGGGAGTCTGATCAACCCTAGTGAGTTGGTATCTGATGAAACGTATGGACGCAGAAAACTCGTATGATTTTTGCCAACTTGTGCCACTTGTGGTTTAGGTTAGGTATCAGTCTACCAGCTTCATTAGTTCACTCTCTTCTACCTTATAGTAATGAAATGTGGCTTTTAAAAATACGGGATATTCGTAGTTCACTAGTATTCGATGATAAATGCCTTCGAATCATTGCTGATGTATGTTGAGACCACTGGCTGCGCGATGTTGAGTTAAGGCAGGGTACTAGGTAAGGGTCGCGTATCGTTTGACGAGGCAATGCATGTCCATTGATTACAGTAATTGGGATACATATATTACCTATACCCTGCAACCATCTACCTCGGTGCGCGATATTATTTGATATAGGAGTAGGCTGAAAGAAAGCTAGGGGTGGCCAAACCAAGTTGTGACGTAAGTCCATTAAGTTATTGACTATTTGATGTGTATATAAGTTCAAACTACCTGTTTTGGGTCCACACAATTGTTGTAACAATTGGTTAGAGATCTTGGATGAAATGGCTCAATCGTTTACAAGGGTGCAGATACATCCACTCTTTTTCTCTATCAATCGTTAATTCCAGTTCCTCTTCATATATACTTTGCTAGTCTGTCGTTTCGAACTCTCTCCTTAACACTTAGTTTTTCTCAACATCATTGTTGCTATATCAATTCACTTTATTTTTCTATCTTATGAGTTTCATTCCGATGTGCTAATCTGCTGTGATAACTTGAACTGATACATATATGTGCCAGGTTCCAAGTTTTAAATTACTGATTGACAGTTTATTTCTCTCTGTGGTGTTGCTTCTATGTTGTCGTTTAGTATTTTTTCTTAAGTAGCGCTCATTAAAGTCAACTATGTGTATAGATAGAGGCGGGAATAGCAAATTTATTTCTTTTATTTCTAGACGATCGATGGCATACTGTCGGTAATGATATTCTTGGGAATTCAACTCGAACAGTACCGAAACCAACAGTCAAAAAATCTGGGCAGGAACATTTTAAAGCAGAAAATACTGATATACATGGAGTTTTAGATGATGAACCACGTCTGGATTCAGGAGTATTTTCAGCCATTCGGTTGGCTGAGAAAAAAGGTTATATTGATAAAGAAAAAGAGAAACGAGTGAGTTAACTTCTTACACTTTAATCGATGCGAATTCCTCTTCAATTTTTAAGCATAATAATGTATTCGCAACAGTGCTCAACTCTATTTGTTGTTTGAGCTAACCATTTTTATTATCTGTACCCATTCCTTTTATCTTTGTTTTTCTAGACTGGTTCAGGAACTATGGTCAATCTAATGGCTAAACACTTTGTCCAAGAAGATATACGCTATGATGATATTGATGCGAAATTTTACAAACGTGATCGTTACTCTGGTCCATTATCAGATTTTAAAGAGTTAACGCAATATAAACCGGATATTAAATTAGAATACGTTGATGAGCTAGGACGCGATTTAAGTGCTAAAGAAGCTTTTCGTCAATTAAGTCATAAATTTCATGGAAAGGGTTCCGGTAAGAATAAAACACAGAAACGTATGAAAAAAATCAATGAAGAGTTTGTAAGTTTATGGATTAATTATTAATTTAAACTAACATGTTTACCAATTACAGGTTTTTTACTATTCCATTTAAAGCGATTTTTTTACATCATGACCGTTAATACTATTTGACCCACCAAATTGAGCTAGACAGATTTGTATCTGTTGCTTGCAAGGCTAGTAGTTTTACAATTAATTGATTGTAAATATCATTTATAGGACCAATAAGTCAGAACGAGTAGAACATTTTGTGATTATTCATCGATATTCGTGTATATATATGTGCGCTGGGATTGTCCTCATATTTTCACGCCTAAGTAAGTGGTTTCCTCAGTGGATCATTCCCTGAACCTATAAATTAAAGGTCTAATTTAGAAGGTATTTGATTGAAATGTCAATAATTCACTGCTTCACTTTTTGTTATAAACTTACAATCGTATATTAAAATAATCCAACCCACTTTCAGTTTTATTCTAAATAGAAGTTCGTAATATTGTTCGTAACTTGATATAAAATTGGTGGTACTCGATTACGCTTGTATTCCTATCACTAAATATACATGGTTTAACCGCGACGTTGGTGTGACTTATTAGATACTAGGTAGAGATAGTAAATCGGGTAATAATATTATGGACTTTCGTCCACTGATTTGGTTTCGAACATGTTTTTTACACTAAATGCATGATAATACGTTGGTTGAAGACTAGGTGTGGCAAAAAAACATGGTATCAGCATTTTAAGTTATGGACTCTTGGATGTGTGGCATTCAGTTGAGTCATTTGCTCTTCATCTTGTTAATTTCATGTCTGACTGTGCTGATGTAAGACATGGCAATTTTGTCGAGGTATATTTATTTCAGGTTCCTATTTGTTTATAACTGGTTAAATATCTAACTGGCAGTTGTGAGTGAATTTCACAGCAACATATTCTTCGAAACTAAGCACACTACTTAAAATACAAATACCTAAGAAATTTAAAAAAAATAGTTTTTGATCTATCGTCATGTTCTATAATGTTGGTAGATAAAAGCGGTAGTGAGACTAAGTGAGAAACTTATTTTCGCACAAAAATTCACGATTAAAAAATGTGTGTGTTATGTGTTTGAACACTAAAGTGCATAAGATGTTGACGGTTGATGTTCAACGGAATTATATGAAGAAGAAATAAATATTCCAGTTTATCCAACTGCTATTTTGTTTTTAGTATTTCAACTTTCGGAATTAAATTGTACTTGCTGACGAATCTATTTCCAGATTCAAATTTTAGTAAAAGTCCCTTATGGATTGCTTTTCACCAAAAATTGAAAATTTACGTCATTTAACTTTGCAAGTTGGTTAAGTGAAATTTTATAAAGCGAACCAAATATTAAAATAGTTGAGATATAATGATATTTTACGACATACGTGTTTCTTCATTACAGAACTACATTAAAGATACCCAACGATCCCTGGAGATTAAGAAAGAGATTTACAGGAGACTTTTTAATGTTTCTAGAAAAGGTCATCATACAAACAGTTTTACTGGTTTTATACTGTTTATATGACCTTGGAATATAGATACGAGATTAGTTGTTAAAAATAAAGCTTGTTTTCAAATAGTCAAACGATAAAAAGTTCTGAAACGAGTTGGATTAGTGATTTTCCGAACACTAAAAGATTTTATATGAGTGGGGTAATTTGTCGACTAACAACAAATTAATCATAGCATCGCTCTCAACTTTGTAGTAGTCTTAGATTTCAACAGACCTCCATAACATATGGTTAATTGTTATAGTAAAGGTGTAGACTTACCGTTTTATGCTAAAAACCGTAAAAAATCACTAGCTATTGAGGACAGGAGTTTTGTAAATATTATAACTAGCGAAGTATCTACTTTTCCGCAAAGTTTACTTCTTTGGAGAAAAGCTGTTCAAAACAGGGATGTTTACAAAGATAATTTCAAATTCAACAACCATTCTGTGGTGACTAGGGACTAAATTCAAGAGGTAATTCTTAGAGTTCTATTAAGAAGCATGAAGCATTGGATTTCAACCATGTCGGTCGTCAGTCAAATATTACTAATGGCAATGGATAATGGGTCATGCAATACTTGCATATAATTGGATGCCAGCTCAGTTTTCTGAAGTTTGGACGCTTGTCAAGAGGCTTGGAGGCCTTTAGTTCGATCCTTGGTGTAGTTACATAGTAGGACGAAATAGATGTTCAGTGCTTCCTGGTTTCAGTGGGCATCTAAGTAAATTTAGCCTGTAATGTGAAACTTCAAATATTAGATTTTATTTCATCTTACTGTTTAAAATGTTGAAGTTTTTTTAATTATTCTGAGTCATTATAAAGTGATATATTTTGTTGGATCTCTCTGTGCCACAGCTTAAGAGGAACTTTAGTATGGAATTGATTGATTTTTTAATCCAAGTTCGTATTTTCCTCAATGTCATTTCAAGTATATGTACTTAGTATTTGTTTTACGAAGTAACATCTCGTCTTTCAAGTTATTTTCACTATTTTAATTTTTGAAAATAATAAAATATTCTTTTCTTTCTATTATGGATTTAGCTTCTTAAAGCCAGCACCAGTTCAGATACTCCACTGGGAACAGTGAACAAACTGAATAAAAAACTAGAAGCGATGTCAATGCCTTATGTAATTTTGAGTGGAAAAAATGCAGCTGTGTAAGTTAATTCATGTTAGGATACGTGTTTTCGTTGCATTTTTAGTGAGATCTTAATTTTTATTTCAGTCACCGCCAAGTTTTCTCTTAATCTTTCATAAAGATTCATTTTTGGTTTGATTAATTACTTTAATGATGGTGGTATAGTGAACGAGAACACAAGCGGGGACAACCAAATGTATTTGAACACAAAATTACAGAGCGTCTTAGTAAAATCTTAAAACCATATAGTAAATACTTGATTCGCAAAATGTCAATCAATCGGCTCAGACTTCACTGTTCTTTCATTTCCATAGCAATCATTCTCTGTTCTCGTTCTCGTTTCTTAGATCTTATTAACCATCTGCTGCCAGGCATTGCACTTTCGACTGATGATACATACTACTTATATCTGTCGACATCAGTAGCACACACCACAAAGGGACTGTCTCGTCCGAGCTAAATGTGAAAACAACCCTGACCTACTTACTGGGTATATTTGGCGACTTCAAAATATCATGTATGTAAACACAACATAACGAAAATTATATATATTAGCTGTTTTTCACATAACAGAACAGATAAATAAACAATGAAACTACAAGTCGTCAATTGAGTGACCAGTTGTTTTTCACTTTCTCCAACTGTAACCAAACCTTATATTTTGAAAGAAAGATACCTCATTAAGAAGCCAAAGAAAAGTGATTACAACAATTGCAAGAACAACAGAGGCATCACAATACTATCAGTACCAGGAAAAGTTTCAAACAGAATAGTGTTGAGCTGGATGAAAGATTCAATAGATACCCAACTTCGAGATCAACAGGCTGGTTTCCGTAAGGATCGATCGTGCACGGACCAAATCGCGACACTACGTATTATTCTTAAGCAGTCAATTGAGTGGAACTCGTCACCATACATCAACTTCCTTGACTACGAGAAATTATTTGACAACGTGGATAGGAGAACCTTATAGATCCTCCTTCAGCATGATGGTGCACTGAAAAAGGTGGAAACTTTCATGTGCCTGGGCAGTATCATTGATAAACAAGAGGGTTCTAAAGTAGATGTGAAGACACAGATTGACAAAGCGATGGCAGTACGTCTACAAGTGAATAACATATAGAACTCAAGACAACTGTCAGACAACATCATAGTCAGAATTTTAAACACTAACGTTTAAACAGCTCTATTGTACGGAGTTGAGACCTCAAGCATTACGACAACTACTATCAAACAGCTGTCTACGCAAGATAATCCAGGTCGATTAATCGTATACCATCAGAAACAACGTACTATGGGAGAGAACAAACCAACTTGCCGCTGAAGAGGGCATTAGGAAAAGACGCTGCAGATGGATAGGACACATTACGGAAACCATCAAACTCCATCACTAGACAAGACCTAACTTGGAATCCCCCAGTCGAAAGAAAAGGAGGCAGACTAAAGGATAAATGGGGATGGGAATTGAAGCAAGACATTAAAAAAGAACAGCACTTGATAACAGTTGGAAGAAGAGCTTAGGACAAAATTCGTTAGTGAATCCTGATGGGTGTCCTATGCTTCTCCAGTATTACATATAAAGTAATAAGACTGTCAATAAACAATTAGTGGTTAGGAGAGACCAAAGAAAAAGTAACGACTTCAATGTTCGTCGATTTGGTTGTGATTACATCAATCAGTAAAATTAAACATGGGAGTTGTGTGGTCAAGTAATAGTTACTCATAAGTAATGTTTTTTTTAAAAAAAAACAATTTGGCAATTTTCTTATTAATCAGTTGTGAATTCAGCAGATACAATTTTATTTATCTATACACTTTAGTAGGATATCATACGTAGTCACGTTTGTAAATTGCTTGGAAAGTGATTAAATTTTTTAACCTACATTTATATTTTATCATTATGTGACTACGTATCTACTCTCATAAATATTGTTTAATTGGTGTACTGTTTGAAATGTAATCATTAAATTTCTTTAACTTAATAAGGCATCACTTTCGGTCCAATTGAAACAGGTACACATTAGCTCTTATCATTATTTGTCACGGTTTGTATCTTTCTGTTTTTGATGTTAAGGTTTGCAATTGATCAATCTCTATTAGTCTATTCAGACCTTGAGTAAATTACCTCAATATTATCATATAGTCATTCAGCATGAGTTATACTTGACTAAGTTGTTAGTAGCTCTTAAGTCGTAATCTATGTTCAAAGTCTCCATTTCAACTAACTAATACCACCTGAATATTTAAATTTTCAAACGAGTAAATATCCGTTTGATAAATTTTGTCATACAGCTTCCGTTCCACCTGTTAATATGATAATAATCTAGTTTGGATAATTCGACTTTTTTGTAAATAATTGAGTTTAGATTCACGAATAGTGCATCTCGGATTAAGAGTACAAAGCATCCATTTAAATCATACGATCATTTAATCCATTTTTGTAACTTGTTTTCAACTACTTATATCAATCAGTAGTATATTTTTATATTTTTCAAAGTGAATTGTGTTTATTTTATTATAGAAAGAAGCTGACGAAATAATTAACAGCAATAGTAAACAACAGTTTGGATGTCATATTCCATAGTTGATATCACTTTACCTGGCATCGATACACTTGTTCATTTGTAATGCGAATCCCCCACTAAACATTATTTTCTCACTTTTTTCTGGATTGTTATTTCTTGTGTACATACATAATCAATTTTTAAATAAAAACTCTGACCTTATTTGTTTTATTAATCTGCCTTTAATATTGTTGCAATATTGCTAAATTGTCTTGATCGTTGACGTGTAACATTAATGAAATCCATGTGTCAAGATGAATTTTTCTTTATTCGTCGTTTGTGACATACGTTAACGTTCTTGTCGTGAATGAATGGTTAGGTTTACAAACACTGAATCGAAAAAGCTCAGGCCTCGTCGATAATGTTTTGGCCATATATTCTAATAATTCTTCCCTTAGTATAGTCATGTAAATATCCAAAAGTTTGTTTCCCGTGGAGTAGAAAACCTACTTATTTAAAAGATCCGTCCATTTCTCCATTTTTGCTGGAAACTCCATTAAGTATGTTTTTAGAGGTAACTATTTATTCGTCTGGATACGCAGGGGTTGATCATATTATGTATGAAAACTTCAACTACTTTGTGTTAAGTTGTATTATGTTCGAGGCGTTTCCTTTAGGTATTTGAGACATTTACGAAACTTCAGTGGCAACAAAAACCTTTTTGATATAATGACGAGCAAAAATTTAAAATATATTTTGGAGGTTTTCTATCTCTCATGACATACCAGGTCGTCTAAGTGACATTTTCATCATAGGATTTCAACCGTTTGATACCGAGGGATTACTGAGAATATGGTAAGATAACATGGTTGTTACTAAATTAAGGAGTCTGTTTTAGTCACTTTAATGCCATTATCTAATCCTATTGTTGATGAGTATAGAAAGTATCTGGTTGCTTGTATTGTCCGATACTATATATGATCAGTTCATACTTTATCTTGAAATTGTATGACAGCAATTTCTCTCAGTGATTGTCTGTGTAGTCAGTTTTACTAATTTTGGAAGTATCGCCTCTGGTGTATCATCTTGTTTATCGTTTTCGAATTACATATTTTGTTTAGTTATCGGCTAGGCAAAATTCATCACTCTAACAATAGTAATCAACTTTTGGAAACGGTATTTGTAGAGTGAATGGTTTAAAAGCAGAACAATAACATGTTTGAAATTTTTACTGTTAGGAATGAATGATGCTCAACGAAAATGCATAAATTAGGAATGAAGTTTTGTAACTGATTGATCACTGGGTGATGGTCAGTGTCATGTGTGTCAGGTCCTTCTTAGTGCAGATTGAATGCTATCGACCAAGTTGCAATGTGGCCACTAGTCTAGATGACTCGACATTGAAGTTTCGTTCATTTTGGCAACATACGGCATTAATTCATATTTCTTTGAGTAATCTTAATATTTTTATAACACAAAATTTAGTGAGAATTTGATTTTAAAAAGTATATTTTTATTGTTTTTCAATAATAGTTTATTTGCTGCTGTAGGCTAGCGCGTAAACAGTACAAGAGTGTATGGAAACATATTTGTTAATCAAGCATACCTTCCTCAATAAAGTTTGAGCTGGTATAGATTCAGTCCTCAGAGTGAAGCGCATTTTGATTCAAGGATAATGTTTATAACACGTTTTCTTGCTGGATTCTGAAAACAAGAAAATGAATTGTTATGATTAGTAGTTCCGAATGCAAATGTATCTAAATCATATTATCTTACTTGTGATTCAAATATTTTGACTTGTAACCGATTTTATGAGAAAAGGTTTTTCAGAGTTCGACAGGAAAATCATTTTGTTACTATTTCTTTGTAGGTAAACCTAAACAGTTTGAAAAATCTAGAATTATGTATTGGTTGTGCATGTCATTACCTCTCAACACGTCGCTGCATGTGTTAACACTAATAAATAGATCAGCCAAGTTAGAATTATGATACGAAAACATTCTTAAGTCACTAGTCATTGACCTAGTTTCAGAACAGCTTTTAGGATTTTGTTGAGATGACGTAAGCGTTGGGACTAAATCATAAGAATATTGCGATATATTTTGCTAATAGTAAAGAATGGTGCTATCTTAATATTATCAATTGCCTGAATCCGGAAGTGCAGACTGTCGGGAACATATAATTAATGAACTTGCCGCCATATTAAAAAGTCTACATTTGATTCTTTGCATGGTCTTGAGTGTATATACAATCATTATCATACTATTTTCGTACCTCTTCCAAGTAAAATACAAAAAACTGGAAGTTCTGTTTTAATTGAAACCATGAATTGACTAATGTTAAACCACAAATGAAGACCTGGAAATCCGTTTTGTCCTGGTCTGGGACTCTTCAGCAGTTTGCATGCCCGACCCCGTACGCGTGATCTGCGGTATTGCGTGCGAACACTTAACCTCTAGACCACTGAGCTGGCATTCAACGGTGTTAATGTCTAACTTGATATTACACGACCATCCTCTATTGTTTTCAGTGAGTAACTGTTTCACACCAGACACGTTGAACTGCACTGGTCACGACTCATCACTAGAACTCTAGGAAATCCATCTTTAATCTAGGCACTAGTGAGCACATGATAATTATCAGTATAGGACTGTGGAGATCGTTGAGTTTTGGTTGAGATCATGAGTGGTCGCGCAATATCGTGGATTGGTAATATTAATAGGATTAATTTCTTATGTAAGTGGGATAGTTAAAATAACGCATTGTGTCACTGGGTAAAAAAGAGAATTCAGAAAAGAAAATAAGGATGGAAATTATTTTACTGGGAAAAATTACGAAAAATGATTGTCCACTTGACAGTTATGAAGAAAAACGACAAACATAAGTATCATAATAATAAAAGCTGAATAACAATCATGAAAAACTGTTTAAAGGTAATAATAACTGATGACGGTTTAAAATTACGAAACATTTATTCAAAAAAACCAAAATATACTACTGAATAAAATTAGGGCCAAGGAAGGATGAGAGATTAGACGTATGAAGTTTGCACGCAGAGTTCAGACTTGAATTGGTGGATTGTCAATGCCTCACTAGTACATAAGTTTTTTATTCGACCTCTATTCTGTCTAACTCCTTTGGTTGTGTAGATCAGGTTGAAGGAACAGGATTAAAATGTACATATATACATAGAGAAATGAATGTATCGTTATATCAATTAAGCGACTAACATTAAAGCTAGCAGGATGAATATGTGCGTAAGCGGTAAGCAATACTCAAGCATACATGTTCATACAAGCGAAACAATAATAAAAGTACAGTGGTATAGATTATTGTGACATGTACATTCAGTGATTTTTGTAAGGACAAAGTAAAAACCGTTTTTTCTTATTTGTCACACTTTATATGTAACCACATTTATATTCAATATCTATCGTTTCTTTGTATAAATGGTAAAGAAACGGATAAAATTGTTTGATTATTTACATATATATATATATATATATATACTGCCGCGGTTGTTGAAAATATAAAACGCTATCTCCGCCGTCTGTTCTGCTTTATTGGCCACAGCTTTTGATTGAAGATTATCATAGTCTTATAACATCCTTTTAGGCCTTCCCACACTACGTTGGACTCCAGTTATCAAATGATGGTTGATATAACTAATTATTTCAAAGACAAACCATTATTTTAAAATTGAAACTAACAAATTAGATCCTCTAGCATTATTTTACACGGGATGTCATTACTAACTACATGCCTAACCCTCTTTTGGGTTTGGGAGGACTACGGGCAGAACCCTGCTCTGGGGACGAACAAACCAACTTCCGGTTGATAAGGAAATTTGGAAAAGACACTGGATGTGGATAGCTCAAATATTACGGAAATCATTGGGCTGTGCTACAAAGCGTTAACTCGGGATCCTTAAGGCAAAAGATAAAGCATCCCAAGGAACATATTGCATTGGGAATCGGAAGCAGACATCAAGATAATAAATAGCACTTATTAAAAACTGGGAGGGAGGTCCCTGGTCGACGGCCCATGGCTCACGAGGGGCAACAGTGTAGGTGAGTAACGCTTATTTCCTTTATCAATAAACTTCATTAGTATACATTACCTAATTAAAAAAGTAAACTAATCACGTAAAGCATAATTAGGCTGAGTAGTTTTATTTACACCAATGTAGTTTAGTATTCTTGAGATAACAAACTAACCGCAAAAATAAAGATGAACAGCCGTTATATCATTGAGGATAGTTAAGTATCACTACCCTAAAACAACATAAAATCTGCAAAACCTGATAGTTGTAAAATGTTAAAATTCGATAATGGTGTCACAAGAAAATATATTAGCATCCAAGCCGTAAGATATGAACACAAATGTTACTCTGAAATTATCTTACTAGATTAAATGACCATAAATGCCACTAGACCTGACTTTTCTAGATAGATCTATTGGTTGAGAACGATAATGGATCTAAGTACAAATAGTGAGACTAACTACAATCCAAGAAATCAATGAAGGAACAATCAACATTGCGAAGTCTTATGGTCAGATTATATAAGTCAAACGCCTTAAGTACTGAGCAACCGCTCCAAATTATTTCCAAAAATCACAACATTTACGCATAATTTTTGTTCAGGAAGGTATATAACAATCGTACAAAAAAATATTACCAAACTACAACTGATATTGATTGGCAAGTCCTACTAAAAAGTTCAACAGAGTGGAATAAAATTCACCAATATTTTATCCTTTGGATGTTAACTACTGGACGTAATGGTTAACACGCACCCAGGATAAAATATGATACTGACATACAGTAGGAAAGTATGGGAAGCCTGCTGTTATGATCTCTTATTACGAATCAGTTACTCTTAATGCTTAGTATTCTTTGGACAGTTTACTACACTCGACAAGTCCCCAAATCAGAACACAGTTGAACAAGAACGTAATTATACTCCAAATAAAGGTTGAATAGAAGTACGAATTACAATAAAAACGCTAGTATATTTATAACTTTTACACAAGATTTTAGTCTTCTCCAAGTATCCGCTACCGCTGATTGGCTAAGAGATGACCAGCCGGGAAGTATTCTATGCCGGATCCCGTTGCTTTTCGTTGGTCAGTATGACGAACTGAAACTTCTGAGTCAACTGAGACTTCGTAAACATTACATTTCTTTTGCAAGATTCGACCAGCTGTCCATGTAGGATGTGCGCAGCGATAATCCATAGCAAGTACTTTTTGACCGACAGCGAATAATCATCTTTGTACCTCATGATGTCGATGGAATCGGATCCCCATCGATCCGTTCCGTTGAGGCTCAAGAGCTGGTATCAGACGAACGTGTTCGTGTTTTTCTCCTGAGTAAAGCTTCTATTGGAGAGACCCTGTTGATCGTTTGAAGATTTGGTGTAGAACGAAAGATAAGTAAGAACCTCTCTAAAATCTCTTGATTTATCCGGAGCATCTTTAAATCTACTAACAAAGCATTCAACTTGGCCATTGGATTGGGGATGGGAATGTTTAGAGATGAATGATTCCATCCACCCGACAAAATTCTGAAGTAGTAGGCGTAAACTGTGTTCCATTGTCGATAGTTATTAATTCTGGAACCACGAAACGACTGAACAGGTTAACGTGGCCTTTTGACTGCGAAGCTTACAGGCCGTTCCATGAGAAAAATTTATGGCCACTTGCTGTATGCATTAGCTACAAAAAGGTAACTCAACTGAGGGACGATTCGGTATAATTGGATGCGGAGACTTCACATACTTGTTTTTTCGGGAGATCTCCAGAAGCCGAGTAGTACTGAATTGTGACCAATCATGATCATGGTATAACGATATGTGACTGAGTGGAAATCAACTTGAGACACGATTTCAGGACCATGTCAATAACGTGATTCCATTAAGCCAGCTAGCAGCTTAGTTTCGAGGCTAACTACGAGTTATATAATCAAACCATAGATACAGAAAGACGTTGATGCCCAATAACAAAATGACTGTCACATTACAAGAAAATGGTGTAACCAATGTACAGTAATGTACGAACTTAAACGGTAACAATCACGAATTAGTACCATCTCTGCACAATTAACTTATCAGTAGTGAAATGAATCTTAATTAATCTGAACTGGTTAAACTGATGGGACGTATAGTCTATCCGATGAATATATGAATAAAGTTACTAAGATTGTTATTTATGGACATAACTAATAACGATCCTCGAAATACGGCATCAAACTGAAGTCACAAGACAAGGAACGGAAAGCAGGAAATGAAATGCTAAGAAGAATATTCGTAATTTATCTGATCCTGATGGACACCAGTAATACGGCCACTTGTCGGGACAATCAGCAGTGATTGACCGTAAGTTCCCATCACATATTTCGATCACTCTATTCACTAGACTAAGGGCTTTTATTCCTGAAATCCAAGACGACTGTGAAAACGGGGGAATGAAAACGATGTAAAGAAAATAAAACAGAAAAGGAGATAGCTGGAAGGGTTTGACTTTTGAGAATCACAAAAGATGTTTAGAACAATGGAACAAGTATATTGCAATAAATAGGGGGTATTTAAAAGATAGGAGTAAAGTATCTTGAAATGTGTAAAACAAAGGTATCACAATTTCAGTTCCCGAAGTTACCGTACATACCTATGTACAATGAAAATATCTGGATTTGTGCTTTAAAATTTATTCAAGAAAAGAACAAGAGATTTTTCAACGACAAAAAGAAATATACAAACTACGTGATTTAGAACAAAGACAATTTAGTTTTCAGTAATCAATATCCTCTTTTAAAGCATAAAAATACAATCAAAACTCCATATACAGGCAAAGATAAGATCAAAACAACTATGTACAGATACCGAAAATGAACAAAAGATGAAGAAGCACAGTGATTTAGAGAGATAAGAAGACAACTTATTTATAATTATATGTCATGAGTTAATCACAGGAGATGCTTGTTCCTTATTGTTTGATCCGACAGGTCTCGGTTTCCCATAAGTAAATGGAACGTAGCGATATTTGATCATATGCTGTATCGTACAAAAGAAAAAAAAGTCAAACAAGCAACAGAAATGATTAAATGTTACATATTTATGAAGCAATGGAATAAATAATGACGGACTGAATGATGTATTTGACAGAGAAGAACAAGAGCAAGTTGTCAGTACCTTTTAAATGTTACAATTAACGTAGCCATCCGTAGTTGAATTTGACTGTCGTTAAATGCAGTCACACAATAATTTGACATCTCATTTTGTGAACCAATTGTCCGAATGAATTAACTGAAGCATACAACAGGTACTAACTGACAATAGAGTACCTGAGGTAGTGTTTTTATTTATATGTTGGATACTGGTGTACTGATTCAGTTTTAATCCTGAGTGACCTGATTGTATCATAGTATATAGAGGATAAAGGTCTATTCATTGATTTCGTTTGAATATTCTCAATATCAGTGAATACTTTTAATTTTCTCATTTTGTTTCTTTTCTTAGAACCATATTTAATTATTTTATCACTAATACTAACACTACCCATTCACCAATTATTAATTTTATTTTGCTATATTGAAGTAGTGTGGCAGCTTAGGGAAATGTACATTTGTGCCAGGTTCTATGATGACTAGAACTGAGTGGCTGAAATGAAATAACAAACAGCAGATTATTGAAATGGTGGCTCTATAACCACAGTAACCAAATTCTAACCACCAGGTCTCAGGTTTAAACTTCAATCTATCTACTTCAATTTCGAAGGTCGGGTAGCATTACTAACCATCACACGGAGTGAAACTGTAATCCGGCTACTCGAACTTTTAACTCGTTAAGTTATCAAGAAATGGGGGGATAAATGGTCTTTCTTAAATAATCAGGGTTTGAAAAGCTTTTCAATATGTGAATAGAACAATACTATGGAACATTATCAACAAACACATATGTATATATTCTTCTGTGAAACCTGAGGGTAAAATAGTCATTGCTACAGTAGGTGAACTGATCTACAAAACCTGAATATCGCACCTAACAATATAATAAAAGGTAACGAAAAGTTAGCATTTGATATCTGAAGTTTTCTACGTGAAACTCAATGGAGTTATAAAACTTAAAACAAACTGATAGGACGAATAGTAGATTAAACAAATAGGCAATATTAACTGCACATAGGTAAATATCATAAAAAGTGATAAAACAAACCTTAATTTGCTTCTTCATCATAATAGCAAACAACATTATAAAATACATTACTAGTATCGGCCAAAATACCGGAATATCCAAGAATGGAAGATATGTGCAAAATATACTGATTGCAACGGCACGGACGGTGGAGAGCCTGTAATGTATTAGGAAATGCAGTCGTTTACTAACACGAATGAGAATGATGGGTTTAGATGTTGGGTATCTTTAAAGTGATTTTTAACACACTCTCCAAACAGAGCTAGTTTGGAATGAAGGCAATCAACTTAAATGGAAGCAACGTAGGAATTGTTGTGACTACATACTCGGCTATTACAATTATCATTAGCATAATAGAAGAGAAACCTAGTGAGTTAATGACAAAACCAAGTAACTTAAAACAAACAATCGAAAACAATAAACAAGATCTTCAGATAATAAAAGAAATGTATGGTTGGATTACAACTACAGACTTTACCAGTCAAAACCAAGACATAAGTAAAAATAGATGTCAGTGAGTTTATGACTTGATAGGGTTTCACTTCGGTTAATCAAAGTAATCTCCCAACCTCATGAAGTCAGCGCGGTGGTATAAGTGGGAAAAATAGTAACTAGATAAGAGACACTTTAACCAGACTTAATCTATAACACAAAGAATCGAAAAAAACCAGTTTACTAATTAGTTTTCAAAGCCAAATAAATGTTTATTTCTAATGATTCGATTCGTTATAACTAGTGCTTGATGGCACAATGCCTGTGGCAAAACCTTAGGAATGACCAACCATTTCTTGATTCATATGCTTAAGCATAAAAGTAGTCAGTATGTCCAGGTTAATAAGTACTAAGCTTTCGTAGGTTTCATAGATCTGGCAGTGATTCATCTATCTGAAATGAAGCAATTACTAAATGCAAATCTAAAAAGGCTTACGTACCTAACATGCCCCCAAATACCCTGTTTCGATCGAGAGTGGGGAGTCAGCTCTCCCCTTTCGAATAAAATGAAAATGACGATATTTATTAAAAATTCTATTCTCGCTTCGATTTACAGTCAAACGATTCACATTATTATTATTATTTACTACGTCATTTACTCACTCTCTTTTATTCCCTATTTTTCGACTTATACAGCAGCTCGCCTATGGTGGGAACTCGGTTCTATCTGAACGTTCTCGATTGACTGCCTGGTTGAAAATTGTATGCTAACACCAAGTACAAATACTGAGGCAGTTTTTCTGAAACCACGTGCACCATTCAAACTGGCTGCCTTCAACGTTCGCGCACTTATGCAGGTCGGACAACAGATGGGGCTGACTATGTCTTTGGAGAGTCTTAATATCGACGTTTGTTGTCTATCCGAGACCCGTATTCAAGACTCTGATGAAGTACTACAAGTTCGCTCTCCATCTGTCGCTTCAAAAAATTGTTTTATGTGCGTTTGTCCGGGGACCCTGTGGCATCTTCGTCTGATCTTGCTGGCGTTGGTGTCGCACTAAGAGCTACAGCTGAGGCAGCACCAATCGATTAGATCCCCATCAACAGTTGGCCATGTGCTGTTAGAATAGAAAGTTCCACCAAAGTGAGAAGAAATCGGCGTGAGAAACGATGTCTTTTCGTCATCTCCGCCTATGCCCCGACAGATTGCAGCCCGGATGCAATCAAGTAGGAATTCTACCATCAGTTAACTGTTCTTCTCCAGGAAGTGCGTTCGACAGATATTGTAGTACTAGCCGGAGACTTGAGTGCTCAAGTCGGGCGTCTAGATACAGAAGAGAATCGTTTGGGTGGCATATGGGGACTTGCTGGTCGCAGGACAGATAACAGAGACCGTCTACTGTAACTGTGCACAGACTACAACCTGTTTCTGGCTAGCACTAACTTTCGGCACAGTCATCGCCGATGTGCCACATGGCGTCCTCCCTCTGCATCTCAAGCCTGGACTCAGATTGATCACATCGCGATCAGCTACCGCTGGCGTGGTTGTGTACAAGACTGCCGCTCCTTTTGGAGTACCTATCTGGATTCTGACCATGCTTTGGTTTGCGCCAATCATACCTTACTTTTCAGTGGTCAACGAAGTGACCGCCACCAACGGATTGATGTTAGCAAGCTAGTTGCAACTTCTGTTGCTAGTAAGTATCGAACCGAGCTAGTTTCTAGGCTAGCTACCATTCCACCGACAAGTATAGATGAGCATTGGTTGCAATTGCATGACGCCATGAAAATGGCGGGTACAGTCAGTTGTAAGGAACCTGAAGAAACCCAGTGCTTATAAGCGGGACGTTTCGCGAACCCACAACTGACTGTACCCGCCATTTTCATGGCGTCATGCAATTGCAACCAATGCTCATCTATACTTGTCGGTGGAATGGTAGCTAGCCTAGAAACTAGCTCGGTTCGATACTTACTAGCAACAGAAGTTGCAACTAGCTTGCTAACATCAATCCGTTGGTGGCGGTCACTTCGTTGACCACTGAAAAGTAAGGTATGATTGGCGCAAACCAAAGCATGGTCAGAATCCAGATAGGTACTCCAAAAGGAGCGGCAGTCTTGTACACAACCACGCCAGCGGTAGCTGATCGCGATGTGATCAATCTGAGTCCAGGCTTGAGATGCAGAGGGAGGACGCCATGTGGCACATCGGCGATGACTGTGCCGAAAGTTAGTGCTAGCCAGAAACAGGTTGTAGTCTGTGCACAGTTACAGTAGACGGTCTCTGTTATCTGTCCTGCGACCAGCAAGTCCCCATATGCCACCCAAACGATTCTCTTCTGTATCTAGACGCCCGACTTGAGCACTCAAGTCTCCGGCTAGTACTACAATATCTGTCGAACGCACTTCCTGGAGAAGAACAGTTAACTGATGGTAGAATTCCTACTTGATTGCATCCGGGCTGCAATCTGTCGGGGCATAGGCGGAGTTGACGAAAAGACATCGTTTCTCACGCCGATTTCTTCTCACTTTGGTGGAACTTTCTATTCTAACAGCACATGGCCAACTGTTGATGGGGATCTAATCGATTGGTGCTGCCTCAGCTCTAGCTCTTAGTGCGACACCAACGCCAGCAAGATCAGACGAAGATGCCACAGGGTCCCCGGACAAACGCACATAAAACAATTTTTTGAAGCGACAGATGGAGAGCGAACTTGTAGTACTTCATCAGAGTCTTGAATACGGGTCTCGGATAGACAACAAACGTCGATATTAAGACTCTCCAAAGACATAGTCAGCCCCATCTGTTGTCCGACCTGCATAAGTGCGCGAACGTTGAAGGCAGCCAGTTTGAATGGTGCACGTGGTTTCAGAAAAACTGCCTCAGTATTTGTACTTGGTGTTAGCATACAATTTTCAACCAGGCAGTCAATCGAGAACGTTCAGATAGAACCGAGTTCCCACCATAGGCGAGCTGCTGTATAAGTCGAAAAATAGGGAATAAAAGAGAGTGAGTAAATGACGTAGTAAATAATAATAATAATGTGAATCGTTTGACTGTAAATCGAAGCGAGAATAGAATTTTTAATAAATATCGTCATTTCAATTTATTTGTATGTTGGCTGTGATACTGTTCGGGTACCCAAACCGAAACAGGTGGTTTTCTTAGGGAGCCACATCCCGAGCGTTTGGCCTAAAGGTCTGACACACAAGGTAATGGAGCATCGTGAGGAGAAATAGTCTCATGGTAGCCGGTGACCAACGACTGGTTCGTACGCCACTTGTTTCCGCAGAATACTGGAACCCATGTGCACCATTGGTTTGGGATCCCGATAAAGCGCCGGACATTCGCTTTTTGTTCTCTCACTTTCGTAAACAACACCCCGGCCACGAGAAGGCAGTGAGCAGGACTTCCCTGACAGAGGCCGTATACGCGCGGCCGTGTGAAATCATTTTGAGAGGAAGGGCGGGTCAACCCCACTCTCGGCCACACCAGGGCATTTGGGGGCAAGAAAACCGTCTGCTTCAGCTTGGGTGCCCGAGCAGTATTCCAGCCCTCATGCCAAATGATTTTTGTGGTGCATATGTTTTGGCGCCTTTTGTACCAATGCTACATACTAAATATTGACTGTCCTTATATCAAGCGACTCGCTAGAGGCTTTGGTGTCATAATAACCTACCAAGTCTTCTGAAATCGCCACATGCACTCCGAACCGACAGGGATAGCCTTTTCTTGGCATTAGATCTCCGTCGAATTCGCTGGATGGGACTTTATTCAAAACTGGTTTTCAGTTGCAGATGATGTTTGCAGCAATACGTTGATCCATGATATGGATGTTGACAATAATGAGAAACGTAGTGCACCACAGTAAAACACTACAAAACTAGCGACGAAATTAGATCAGCTGAGATTCTTAATGGCAAAACTAACAGCAGCATTTCAACCTTCTCAGAATGATGCTGAAATAATCATGATCAACGGAAAAGAGTAGCACGATAGATATATATCCACCACTGAATAATGGAAGTATTCTTTTGCGAAACAAAACACTACGAAAATTTTGCTAAATTATAGTCAATTAAGGTAGTGGTCATGTGAATTACGTTTCTGAACTGTTTTACGTATCACTAATACGTATGGCGTGTTTGGATAATTTAAGATATAAAACTAACGTTCGAAATACATACAACCTACCACAAAAAAGTTAGGAAGCAGAGTCTTACCAGAATTTTGATTCAAGTAATCTTGGTATAAATGGTCTAAACTCTTCACCTACAGTTCGTGGAAGTGTAGGGATTTCATCTAGTAGCCATTTAGGAATATGAATAGCATGCACTTACCCGAATAATCTGCAGCAGCAGGATCTACTTTTGGAGAAATAAATGATATGAATAAACTTAATAAATATATTGCGAGAGTATAGCTAACGATATGGAAGCCCTGAATATAAACATTATGTAACATGAATCGACGCACCTGGATAGATGCTATCCGGAGCACGTAAATAGCAAATAACAGCAGTGCAAATAGCCATCTAGTTATCCTATATGGATAGAGCTTATCAACTATGGTTTGGTGCATCTGACAAATGATATAAAGGATAATGTACTTCAACGTTAACTAACCACAGTGACCGGTCGACAAACCTTCGACAGGAACGTATTAGACGACTCATCACTTGTTTGATCCAGCTTCATGATAAAGATTTAGAATGATTTCCGTTATTCGTGGTAAAGACCATCCAACAGCGACTTTAATCGATGGACGCGCAAACTGCCACCACTTTAACAACTCATACAGGTTTGGAAAACCCTCCCTAATCTGCGAGAGAAAAAATCGTTACTTTGACTATTCAAACACGAAACTTTACTGAAGTGTGAAAAAACTGTTTATTCCTTGGGTCCTGAAATCGAAAAGTACAAGAGAGAGAGCGATTACGCAGAGGTTTATTCTTCATCTGATTGTTCTTGAATCTAGAGGTTAAAAATTATTTATCGGATGGATGAGTGATTAAGTTTCAGAAAGTGCACGTTCTCTTACTTCTAACAAAGATTCTCAAAACCTACAGATTCTAATCATGAAACTGTTGGCATAGGTTTTTTTGCAAGGTTTTTCGTGTACTGAAGATGTTACAGGTATTCGGAGTTCGACAACGCTTTAACCAGTAACACCTACTATGAATCGTACCCACCAAGTGAAATCAAAAGTCAGAAGCGATGAGGTTCGAAGATATATTTGATAGGCTATCAATATATCGAGGATCGTCTGATCTAATCTGCTTAGCGATTGCAGGGGTTGTTGAGCACGGCGTTCCTACTCGTGATCTGGTGCGGATGCATTACCGAGCGCCTTCAGCTAGGTGAGTTCATTAAGACTAATGTGTTCAGCATCCAATGTCGAAGACTTACAGAGCTATTTATTTTCGGCATTTATTTACTGTTACAGTACTATTCAATGTGTACGATAACTTCGATATGATTTTTGAATAAACTTCATCTGTTATACATTCCAGTCTTTTCCTTTTAAACTTTGTCCAGTAAACTAATTGAACGTTCTTTCTCCATCCACGTTTGATAAAGCTTAATTTCTGGTCGAACTGCCTTAAATGAGAGTAACGTCCTTTGTGAATGGAGTTAAGAAGTTATTGCTTCATAAATGTATTTGGTTATGGTGAAACTCGATAGTTTTCCTTTCACTATATCGGCTTGGCTGAAGTGGGTGCAAATAATATTCACACGTATTTGAATTATGATATAAACTAGAAATCCCAGAATTAACGCAATTGAATCAAGAACTACGACACAAGCACAAACGAATGTATTGTATTTGGAATTCAAAATCCAGCATTCAACAAGTACAAAGGTATCATTAGTTCATTCAAACACCATATCCGCCACAGTTTAAATCGGAGTTTAGGTGTTTGTAATCAATCGTACGTCTCCCCAAATTCATCCTGAGTCTGTCCGACATTGTATTGGATAAGGATTCTGTATTATCTAGAGTGTGCTCATTAGCATTAGAATTAACAACCGGAATTGGAACTGACGTGGTAAGATAGGACACATTCAGTCAGTATGCAAAGCTACTGTCCATTTTGCTTCAAGCTGTACTAAATCTTGTAATTTAAATCTCAATAATTCGGATGTTTCTAGTGATTATTTATCTTTGTCTACTATTTCGAAAGGTAATGCTCATATTCAGAAGCGACTATATACATCCCTTGGTTCATTTCATGACTTTATTGTGAACACAGGCAGTATAGAGTCCATTATTTCATTCAAGAACTTAAAATCTTTAGATCCTAACGTTGTGGTACGACCCACTGAAGTATCAATATTGGGGATTACTGGACACATACTGCCCATACGAGGATGTTGTGAATTGCTAATAAGAGATGATAATTTTTCATACATACCTTGTGAATTTTTAGTTAGCGAAACAGGACTGTCAATACTGGGTTTAAAGAATTTGAAAAGGCTTAAGGTGGAGTTGTCTTTCCTAGTTTCTAAAGAAACTTCTGATACTTTACTTAAAGATTTGATAGCTATGTGTGCCAAGTGCAGTGGAGGTATGAAAATTCAGCCTATAAAACTTCAAGTGCAGGGTGATCCAGTCTTTCTTAAAAGACGAATAATTCCTTATGGTCTTCGAGAAGCAGTACACAAAACATTAAACGATTTGTGTGCGAAAGGCATAATTGAATCAATTAAGTCTTCAGCATAGGGTACTCCTATCGTTACGCCACTGAAGTCGGACGGCAAGACCCCTAAAATTTGTGGTGACTATAGATTATATCTGAATTCCCGTTTGTTGAAGCAAACGCGCACAACGGTAGAGGCTGAAGATATTCTAAATCGACTTCATGGTTCTGAAGTGTTCTCGAAAGTTGACCTAAAAGATGCTTATCTTCAAATTCCTTTAGATGAATCTTCATCTATTTTGACGACAATTAACATTCCCTTTGGTCTGTTCAAATACGATTTCCTTCCATTTGGTCTAAGTTGTTCTCCAGCCATATTTCAGGAAGTTATGAATAAAGTAGTTAGCGATCTTGAAGGTGTTGAAGTTTATCAAGATGATCTCATTGTTCATGGTTTTAATAACAAGGTAGTTCATGACCAGAGACTTATTGCTTTATTGCGACGTTTAATTGAGAAGAATATAACAGTGAATCCAAATAAGTGTTCATTTTTTGTATCTAGTTTTAAATGCCTTGGATATCTAGTTGATGGTAATGGTTTTAGACCAGATATGAAACGGCTAGCTTCACTGACAAATGAACCGTCTCCAAAAAATCTTACGGAACTACGTTCACTAGTGAGTGCTGTTCAATACTATTCCCGTTTTATTCCTAATTTTTCTTGTCGTGCAAATTGTTTATTGAATATTTTGACATCCAAGTCATTCAAATGGAGTGAGGAACAATAGTTATGCTTACGAAGTCTACTGAAGTTTCTTCAAAGTGATGCTGTTCTTCGAATCTACTCCCCTAGTGTACATTCTGCGCTTACTACTGATGCATCACCTGTGGGTATTGACGCAGTTTTGGAGCAGTAAGGTAGACCAGTTATTTGTGTTTCACGCAAACTTACTGTTACTCAACAAGGTTATTCACAGACTCAGCGAGAAGCATTAGCTGTGTTTTGGGCTGTTAAAAGACTTCAGAAATATTTATTCGGAAAGGAATTCACTATTGTTACTGATCATGAAGCTTTAAGGTTTATTTATCATCTTGAAAAATCCTTAGCACATTCCTCAGCTGCTATGGTACAACGATAGAGTATTGCTTAGAGTGCATATGACTATACGGTTCAGCACAGATCCTTCATTCCAAACTAGCTCTGTTTGGAGAGTGTGTTAAAAATCACTTTAAAGATACCCAACATCTAAACCCATCATTCTCATTCGTGTTAGTAAACGACTGCAAGTAGGATGTTGTAGTCGTATTGGTTCTCAACCACACGATGTTTAAAGCTGAACATATAATTAGTGAGAAGACTTACATTCAACATGTAGCACGATAGGGAATGTCAAAAATGGTGAACGCGTGAACATTTACTCGGTATTTCGCATGGCTCGGACATGCTGGTGTGATCATTTTCCTTCTCACTCTTTTTCATATAAAATACACTATTATGTCCACAGCTCAAATGTGTTCTCCAGAAGTGCTAAGCATCATAATGTTGATTGTCACTGTAGGACGATTCAGTGCAGAGAATGGTGTGAAATTCATGTGAGATCCTATGGATTAGATGATCATATTATGACAGATCTACAATTTTAGGATTAGGTCTACTATTCTAGCAGCCAAGATAAGTGTACCAATTCCGAACAGGACCATAATTCAACGATGTCAAGCACGTTCCAATAGTGGGTGCGGTTGTGCGATTACCTGGAGTATAAAATGCTGTTCATTACTTAAATACAGTGATTGAGACGCTATATACGGTGTCACTATGTTAAAATTTACTGTACAGAGTCAACGGGAAAGAAAAACAACAAATATTGCTTTTAACAAAAATAATGATACCATCTTTAGCGATTGATTTATTAGAATTATACGATAATATATCAGCAATGAATAATCTCCGTACTTTTGATTTTCATTGCACTGACCCTCAACAAAATGCACTGTGGTGTTTGAACGAACTGATGATACCTTGGTACTTGTGGATTGCTCGATTTCAAATTCCAAATACAATACATTCGTTTGTGCTTGTGTCTTACTTCTTAATTCAATTGCGTTAATTCTGAGATTCCTAGTTTATACGATAATGAATGAAACTTTCCACATGATAAACATTTACCGAACTTCATCTCACCTTTGTGATTTGCTTTGTAATTCGTTGTTGAAACACCTTTCATATTTACACGAGAATAGGAATGACTGTTAAACGAACGCAAGTTTGATTGACCCTGAGATTGTAGTTCATCATGACGACTAAGCAGAGTATTAGAAATGTTCATCGACTAGATATCAAGTTCATTCACTGCTTCGTAGTTAATACATGCAGTTCTAGCATCTTGAAAGGAACAGTTTTACATCCTTAACAGTTCTCTTTCCAAACTCTGTATGTTAATTCCTGCAGTTAATCGATCTCTCAGTTGCACATGAAGTTGGTCACCGAAATTACACTTGGCAGCTTGTTTTTGCAATTCAAGGATGAATTCCCGAACGTTTTGATCATTTTGACGGACCATCTTATGAAAGTTCGCCCTTTCACGGCATTAAAAACTGGTGCACTTAACATGATTTAATTATAGCTCCTTAAGAGTTGCATAAGGGAGTGAGATAGGTATTTCTGGATGTGCCAAAGTTTTTAATAAGCTGTACGCTTCTCTCCCAATGAATGTCAGGATATGTGCCACAATTTTATCCTTTTTAACATCTTTCTTAGTCATGCTCCAGATTTCGAACCTTTCCAAATAATCCTCGAAAGCTTCCGAAGTTGAATAAATATCTAACTTTTCCATCGCAGGCTCCATCGCGACGCAGTACAATATTCACACGTATTTGAATTATCGTATAAACTAGGAATCTCAGAATTAACGCAATTGAATTAAGAAGTAAGACACAAGCACAAACGAATGTATTGTATTTGGAATTTGAAATCGAGCAATCCACAAGTACCAAGGTATCATCAGTTCGTTCAAACACCACAGTGCATTTTGTTGAGGGTCAGTGCAATGAAAATCAAAAGTACGGAGATTATTCATTGCTGATATATTATCGTATAATTCTAATAAATCAATCGCTAAAGATGGTATCATTATTTTTGTTAAAAGCAATATTTGTTGTTTTTCTTTCCCGTTGACTCTGTACAGTAAATTTTAACA